TCTTGGAAATGATGGGGAGTAAATGTCAGTAGAACTACTGGGCACTTCACCAAAGAGATAGGGCTAGGATGTGATTTGGGGGAAGAGAGGCATTTAGGCAAAATTTAAATGAAGGTGGTCTTGAGGCCAACAGCTTGTGTTTAAGAACACACCAGACTGCAAAGTAGACTCACAGCCCTGTTTCCTGGAAATGAGTAAGATGAGTAGCTCTTCAGTGTTATATCTGAAGCCTGGTCTCTGTCTGTGTTTGAAGCTGGAGCTGCTTTTCCATGTTCAAAGATTTAGACCCTCCAGGCAAAGGGGGAGACTTTCATTCTGACTGACTTGATTTTGCAAAGCCAAGTTTCTGACATCCTAAGATTTTGTAATGAAGTTTCTCCCTGACAGAGGAAGCAGAAACTACTCAGAAAGGGATTTGTTATGACATTGTCCAACTGCACCAGGACCTTGGGGAAAACACTGTTCCTAGTTAACTTTGAAGCTGGCTCTGTGCCTATAAGCTAGCCTGATTCTTGGGAGGGCAGATCTTTCCTTTCTCTGTCTGAGCTGATTTTTTTTTTTTAAGAAAGAAGCTTTTTTTTTTTAAAAAAAAAATTGATTTTTAGTTGTAGGTGGACCCACAGTATCTTTATTTCATTTTTTTTTTAAATGTGGTGCTGAGGGTTGAACCCAGTGCCTCACATGTACTAGGCACGCACTCTACTACTGAACCACAACCCCCACTGTGTCTGAGCTGATTTTTTTGCTTTTTTAATTAAGTGTCCAGAGAGAATTGCTTGGATCTTTGTTTAAAAAAAATATCACCAAGTGTTTTGCAGAATATAGTACATTATCAATGAATATAATAAAAAATAATTGCTATGTTAAAAACCAAACCAAAAAACCCCACAAAATGTTTATAATGTTTTATTGTTCTCAAACACTTTTCGGTCAATTACATGATCCTTTCAAAAGAATCTAAAAAAGAGTGGCTCTCATATAAAGATTTACGCAGACTAGTTTTAGATGTTGTCAAAAGACAAAAATCATAACAATTTAAAGATCTTAATTGGCTTATTTGTGAGTCTAGAAGCTGGCAACACAATTCCATAAAATAGAAATGTTCCAATGAGCTGAGCAGAGGTTGATCTTATACACGGAAAAGAAAGCAGAAACAAAGGAATACAAAGTGAATTAGTAGGGGCTGGGAGAGTGGCTCAGTGGTTGACCACTTGTGTAACGTGCACAAGGTCCCAGGTTCAATCCCCAAAACCACAAGGAAAAAAAAAGTGAATTGATGGCTTTAAAATTATTTTCCTGTAAGGCTGGGACAGGGAGACAGAACAATAGAAAAATATCTGATTGGATAATATTGGGTTACTTTTTAAATATAAGGTTTAAGGCAGGAGGAAATCTAATATCATGTCAACTGAAACTGGCATGTTTGGGAAATTTGGATGCTATCTCTCTTGCAGTTTTTTTTTTTTTTTGGAAGGTCAGATTACAAACAGTTTTGGTTTGTTGACATGGAAGTTTAGCACAAATGACTTTATATTGGTTTTTATTCTGATCTTCTGGGGCTCAGAACAAGAGCTTAATCCAAAACAATGGCCTCTGTTTAATAAAACAATTTAATAAAGAAATTAGTATATTGCATGATGACATAGGAAACGTGGGATATGGTTATGATAGATGCCCTAATTCCACAAGAAACCAAGAGATTGACATGGACCTAAGGACATGGCTCAGTGGTGGAGTGCTTGCCTAACATCTGCAAAGCCCTGGTTTAATCCTTGGTACCATTAAAATGAAAGGGATCAATGCCGTGAACATTTCTGCTATGTTAGATGGTATGTCAGTGTCCAACAGGAAAACAGAAACACAATTTTAAGTAAAGAGAGTTTAATGCTGGGAATTAGCTACAAAGAGACTGATAGGGCTAGACGAGCAAAAGACCCAAGAAGGGAAGAGGTCAAGGGGCAGGGCCAAAGTCCATCATGGATCCACATCTGCATTATGGTTCTTGTAAATATGTTTGGATCAAATCAAAATCTGAATCATGAATCCATTTTGAGAAACAGCAATAAACCTGGGTAAGCCTAATGGATGGTAGATCAGAGCAGGAACTTGGAAATCTGAGCTCATGTGGGGCTGCCACCAATTTATAGCTGTGTGATCCTAGGCAGGTTTTCTCACTCTGCCATTAAGAAGCCCTACCTCACAGGTGAGAATGAGAATGTTCCGCTCATAGAGGCTTCAGAAAGCGGCACACGGCCAATGCCCACATTCTCTGCCGGAAATGGTATCTCCCTGAGTCTGAGACCAGTGCCTGGGACAGCCACCCTCCTGCTGGGATTGGGGAACAGGTTGCTGAGAACAGAAGGAAGAGAAGGGAAATCCAAAGAGGTCCATATAGACCTGACCGGGTTCTTCTTTAAATCCCTAAAGCAATGAAAGAGCACAAAGGAGTTGGAGTCTTTCCTGGGGTCCATATCTGCTCAGCCTCCTACCTGGCCCTGAGACCCCAGGAACACAGTCTGTGCGTCTGGTGAGCCTCAGGTTCCCCATGTGAAAGACTCACAGAGCAGATACAAAAACTAAATGAACTAAAAATGTACTGCTTAGCTGTTGGGGAAATAAAAATTATCTCATAGCAGGAATCCAGTTACTGCAACTGCTGGAATTGAAATATCACTATGAAAATAGCACTCTTTGAGAGTCTCTCTTGTCTGTAGTGTGCAGGAAAATATTTTTCTTTGTGTAGCTTCGAAGTGGGGAGCTTGGTGTGTGTGTCCACCACGGATATTCCATTGCCTGTGTCTTGGGCTGTTTCTCTTCGGATCCGTTTCTGGGAAAGTGAAGTTCCCAAGCGGAGCCAGCAGGGGGCGCGGTGACGCTTTGCCTCCGCCCCACTGCAAAATCTCCAGATTCGGAAACCGGGAACTTGTCAGAAACGCCTGGAGGGGCATCCGCTTTTCTAGAAGTGGTGAGAAAAATAGGAGACTTCAATGAAGGGGCGTGAAGGTGAGGGAGGCGAGTCACAACAGGAGGAGGTGAAATCAACTCCCTCAAACAGCACATGGAGAAGTCATTCCTAGGAGGCAGTGGTTTCTTTAACCCTTAGGGCAGGTCAGGATGCCCCCACCCCACCCCTGCTGCAGCTGCCCTGGGGTGTCCCGGGTCTCCTGACCAGCCAGTTTCTAACTGCACAGCCACCTCCTGCCATCACTGACTTCCCTCCTGCTGAGAAGATTGCTCCTACCAAGATACAATCACCCTTGTCAGACTCAGATAACATTGAGAGCTGGGAAGGAATGAGGAGCTGGAGGGAATGGAGCCCCTGCCCTGACTGTGGGAAATAAGAACTCTCAAGGACTTCCTGCAGAGCTCCTACTGGAAAGGCCTGGGTGCCTCATCCTTCAGCATGGATTTCTGTAACAAAGTTTGTCTTCAACATTCTGTAGGATGGCAACACTGCAGACAAGATGCTTTCCATAGGGGAAGCTGCTCAGAAATGAGCTGGTGCCAACTCCTGCTGCATGAATAAATACTTGAAGATATATTTTCTTTTCAGCTTTGACACTTCCCCAGATCAATTTCCACAATGGCCCATTGGGTACTCTTAAAACAAAACAAAACAAAACAAAACAAAAAACACCTGAAACTCCCCTTCCCCCTTTCCACCCCACCTGCCTCTACCTTGCACATACTTCTTCTTGTCCCTGTCTACGTTGGGACAGAGGCATTCTTCCCCAGAAAACCATTCTACATTCAGACAAAGAACTGTGCACCTGGAAGGAAGCCACTCATCGGAAGGCTCCAAAGTTCTCAGGCAGAATCCATAAGAGAATGGGGAAGAGTGGCAGGGAATCAAGCTAGGGTCACACTGCTCCCGGCAAGGATGTGGACCTCAGATTTAAGATGGGAGCCGTCCTGGTGAATAAAAACTGGCTGCAGAGATGAAGCTGAATTTATCCAGGGCTAGGGTGTGCCATGTGGTCCGATGAACAATGGTGGATGTTGAAGATATTGGCTGAACTGATGGAGCATCAAATCAGTTGATAGGCTCATGAGGTCTACTTTGTTTCACAGAACATAAGCATCCTGAGGGCAGGGCCATGCTCTTGTTCTCCATTACTGTCCGGGCCTGTCGTTAGTCCCTTTCTTGAGCAGGTTTGCCAGGGAATGAAGCTTGGGCAGCAGCAGAGAAAGGACTGGATGGACAGAATGCATGGTTGGAGGTGTCTGGATACGTGGCCAGCTCTAGAAATGAGCAACCCAAGGTGTGGTCCAGGACACAGGCGGAGGTAGAGTCGAGACATTGGGAGCAACCCATCCAGGTGTGCAAGGACTTCACTGGCATTACTGTGGGAAGTCCTGCATCCCAGGCCCCAATAGGGATGAGCTTGGTTTGGTACCTTAAGTAGAAGGGGTTGATGGGCGGGTCCTGGGATGCCACAGTCAGCCAGGATTGGTCACTCTCATGGGCATATGTCATCTTTATTTTTGCCACACTCTGTGTGTGACCCCTTGCTTGTGCCTTTTCACCTATAAAACAGGGCTTTTTCTAGTCCTGGACTCTAGGGGAAAACTGTGCTGAAAGTGGCAGATATTCCAGAGTGGGAATACCAAAGTGTGAGTACCTTAGCATGTTCAAGTCTGTGAATGAAGGACGTTTTACTAAGAGCCTTTAAAAAAAATCTTAACAGGGGCTGCAGCTGTGGCTCAGCGGTAGAGCGCTTGCCTTGCATGTGTGAGGCCCTGGGCTCGATCCTCAGCACCACATACAGATAACTCAACAAAATAAAGGTAGAGGCCAGAGGCTTTCTTGCGCCCATGGGGCTGAAGGCCAACTGGACAACATAGAAAGACCCCATCAAAAAACAAAGTCATAATGTAATGTCACCCAGCTCATTCTTTTCTTTCTATTAGAAGTTTTTGAGCTGATTCATCATAGTAGCATCTATTTTCTTGAAAATTAAATAATGTTAATTTATAATATCACATGAAATAACTGTACATAAATATCATAATTTCATTTAACCAAGCACAGAAACCACATCAGGAAATAGTCTTTGGTGACACAGACACATCTAGTTTTGGAAACATTTTACAGTCCACATGCATTACATGGCACAGACAAATCATAGCTTCATTACAATTCAAATTTTCCATAATCACTGCTATAGCAATCAAAGAAACATCAATAAAATATTCCAGGGCAGTTTTATTTTCCAAACAGTATTTGATTCAGTTCAGTTATTAAAGATGAAATACAGATGCTTTAGGGAAATTGTAGAAACACACTTTCAACTCCCAAACAACTCTGCTACAGAGTCAGGGTAGACAAGGGATACTGAAACAAGAAACAGCAGAATTATACTATACATCAGCATCATGACTCTGTCCAGCCGCTGTAAAGAAAAACATGGGGATCTGGCTGTAATCTACTTCACTTTTTCACAGAAACAAAAGAATTCCTTCCCAGAATAGGTAGAGGAAGATCACTGGAAATATAGTTATTTATATAAACATCAGTGGAGAATCATTATATACAGTTGTGGGTACATAAATACACTCAGAGCTTACTCAATGTGTTCATGCCAAAAACTTGAAGACATCTTCCCCTCCTTAGTATCCCACCTAAAATCTATACACAGATTTGTCCAATTCCCTTTATGCAGAGCTGGGGGTTGATCCACTGCTTGGAGAATGTTAGGTATGCACCCTACCACTGAGCTATACCCCAGCCACTGTTGGAATTGAATACATTTAGAAAACTATTAAAGAAGGCTTCCATCTCTTCCATATACATATTTCTGGTTAAAGAGAAGAAATGTTGTCCCCTTTCTGCTAGATTTTGGCTCTAGCTCAGTTCCTTGTTGTGTTGGGGACCAACAAGAGAAAGAATACAATGCCTTGTTTAAGTGAAAGTTTGAGTCCTGTTTATATTAAACCTTTCCCTCTGAGATAACGGTAGTTTCTGAGATAGTTGTAGGTATTTAGAGATTAAATGCAGTTTTAAGAAATAATATCAAAAATTGCTCTGAAGCTTTTAACCCAGTTTCCCTCGAAGGTAATATCTTTCTAAACGATAGTACGATTTCGAAACCAGGATTTGGTCAAGATACTGAGCATTTCCATCACCACAGGTTCTTTTGTGTTAACTATGCACAGTGACAACCACCTCTGTTGTTCTCTACCTTCCTCCCTGGCAACCCCTAATCTAGCCTTCATTCCTATAATTTTGCACTTCAAAATGTTCCACGAATGGAATCACATAGTATATATAAACTGTTAAGATTGGCTTTTCTCTTTCAGCGTAATTCTCTGGAGATTCATCCCAGTTGCTGCCTGTTTTGGTAATTAGCTCCTTTTTACTGTTGAATAGTTTTCCATGCAATGGATGTATCACAATTTGTTTTAACAGCCACCAGATTAAATGACAGCTGGTTATTTCCAGTTCTTTAATATTATGAATAATCCATGTGCAAGTTATTCTATGAAAATAAGTATTCATTTCTCTGGCATAAATGCCTCAGTGTGCAATTGCTGGTTGGCATGGCCATTACACATCTAGTCAGGAAACAGCCACATGGTTTCCCAGAGTGGTTATTCTATTTTCCATTCCCAGCAGCAGTGGATGACTGATCCAGTTTCCTGGCAGGTATGCTTGCCAACGTTTGATGTTCTCATTACCTTTTATTTTGGCAGACTTGGTAGGTGCGTAGTGATACCTCATTGTGGTTTTAGTTTGTTGTTCCCTAATGACTAATGATGTTGAATATCATTTCATGTGTTTATTTGCCATTTGTAGATCCTCTGCAGTGAAATGGTCCATCATAATCTTTTTCTAATTGGAGTTTTGAAGCTCTTGGGTTTTGAGAGTTCTTTACGTATTCTAGATACTAGTCTTTTGTCAGATATGTGGTTTGCAGATATTTGCTCTCAGTATATAGCCTGCCTTCCGTCTTCTTAACATGGTCTTTTTCAGAACAAATCTTTTAAATTTTGATAAGGTCTAATTTATCAAATTTTCCTTTTGTAGATTTTGGTGTCAGGTCAAAAAACCCTTTGCTTAGCCATTGATTCAAAAGACTTTATATTTCTTTCTATAGTTTTATAGTTTCACATTTTATAGTTACAGATACCATCTCTTTTGAGTTAATTTTTGTAGAAGGTATGAAATTTAGTCCAAGGTTCATTTTGTTTTCTCATGGATTTCCTGTTGCTCCGGTATATTTATTCAAAAGATTATCCTCCTCATGTTGAATTAATTCTGTATCTTTATTAAAAATTAGTTCAGCATATTTGTGTGGGACTATTTCTAGATTCACTGTTCTGTTCTATTCACCTATGTGTTTAAGCCTCTACCAATCACACACCATCTTAAGTACTATTGCTATGTAATAAATTTTTCCATTGCATAGAGTGATTTATCCTACTTTGTTCTTTTACAAGATGGTTTCAGCTATCTCAAAGCCTGAAAACTTTTAGAAAAAGTCTGCCTATGTCTACAAAAACCTTTCGGGGGTTTTGATAATAATTACATTCAACCAAGAGATCAGTTTGGGAGAGTTGGCATCTCTACTATTTTGTGTCTTCAAATCCATGAAGCTATATATATATATATGCCTGACCCACAGACAGATAGTCCTCCACCCTCACCCTGTACACAGTTTTGAGGCTGTGTGGTGCATATTCAACCCCTTTGTGGTTGCAATAAGCTTTGATCCAAGACACTTCATTTATTTAAGTCATTGATTTCTTTCAGCATTCAAATTCTGTACATGTTTTGTTAAGTTTACACCAAGTATGATTTAATTTTCTTTGAAGTGGCAGTAAGTGGTATTGTGATTCTAGTTTTGATTTCCACATGTTCATGTGCTGATCTTGTTCCTGGGACCTTACTTCACTCACTAGTCCCAGGTGGTTTTTTTATTATTATTATTATTTAAGAAGTTGATCATTTAAAATTTCTATGTAAACAATCATGTCATCTGTAAATAGGAATACTTTTAATTTTTTTAACCAATCCATATTCATTTTATTTTGTTTTCCTTGCCTTACTATGTCTAAAACTTCCATTATAGTCTTTTTTTTCCTTTTCACTGCTGGAGATTGAACCCAGGACTTCACATGTACTAGGCAAGCACTCTTCACTGAACTACCTTCAGCTCCCCAATATAGTCTTAAAATTTTTAATCAGCATACATTTTTTGAGATTTTTCTGAAACACAATTCCCTGAATGGAGCCCATCCAACTCAAACTTGTGAATTTTCAAGATTATTCTGATTGTTCAGATTTTGTTTTGTGCAATTTGGACAAATACCTGACAACCTTGACCCGTGGTTATAAATGGAACCCATTCTGCAAAACCCTCTGAAGCATCAGGGACCCTGAAGGAGCCAAATGGAACTGAATATCAAAGCAAATCTAACGTAGATATATTATCTCAAGACAGGACAGGGAGAGAGTGATATCCCAAGAATTAAGGTTTGAGGTTAACTTATGGAGTACTTTTGAGTACGTGGCTTGTTCTTCTAGTTTCTCTCCCCAATCTTTCCTTAAAATTAAGGTAGCAGTAACTTTAAACTCTGAAAATATGAAATACCCTGAAAAAAATATCTTATTTTTATGTACTAGAAATTACCATTGCTAGGAACTCTTTTGAGAATTGGCTTATGACAAAAAAAGAATCGTGTGCGTGTTACTATGTTTTTAGTAACAGGCACTTAAAATATGTTTTTGGCAACTCAAGCCTTCATGCCTTATTTTGTAAAGCAAAAGCAAAAACCACTAATAACATTTTCTTTAAGAATTTTCTATACATAATGATGGTTGTTATGTTATAGAGCATACCAAACCCACCGTAGAGAGTCATAATTATTATAGAAAAATAGAAAACTTGGATTGTACCAGATACTTTATAGATTTCAATTGTAAGAGATCTTAGGTGTGTACACATCGGTCCATGCAGGATGTGTACTCAAATTTCAGAGACCCCCCCTCCCCTTTTTATTTAAATCCTGAAAGCAGTGACAAATCATCTCCAGACAAATCAGTCACTGTCTTTCATACTCCCTTTAAGGATTTTCAGCGACTAAGCATTTTAGTAACTCTTTGTTCTTAAAATCAAAAGCACTCATCCATTCTGCGCAGGGAGTTCAGGAGTCTGACCTTGAATATTGACTTGGCCACGCAGAGCCTCAGTTTCCTTGTCTGGAAGTGGCAATGAGGACATACCCTCATTGGTTGTAGGGCTTAAATGAGATGACCTGTGGAAAGCACCCTCACTTACTGACCTCTTTGCTTGCTTCCCAGCCTCACCCTTCTCCCTTTTCCTCTCTACAATCCATGGCATGAGGTGCTTCTTATTTTGGATGCCATTCCTCATGCATGCGAGCGGGGAATTCTCTATAAAAAATGTGAGCAGCTGGGATCTAAGAAGCTTGAGGCCAAATCTACCCCATTCTTTTCAGTGTTCTACCAACATCTGCTTCTACAGAATAGGCCTGTGCTGCAGACTTTGCCCGTTCTTACATTGCTGATCACGTTAGGGGTGGGGGGGGAGTCCATAAGTGACCATAAGTGACTTTGGCTACAATGTAGCCAATGTGACTCAATGGTGTATTTGCAATCCAGGAGCATGATGAGTGACCCACAGACAGATAGTCCTCCACCCTCACCCTGTACACAGTTTTGAGGCTGTGTGGTGCATATTCAACCCCTTTGTGGTTGCAATAAGCTTTGATCCAAGACACTGCGTCTGGCACAGAAAACAACAAAAACAGTCTCACAATACAGAGCAGTCATATTGTACACACAGGCATAATTTTTTTTTTCCTAAAGAATGGACCAGTAAAGGTCTCAGTGTGCCGTTTTGACAACCAAGAGGTGAGTCTGGATTAACACAATGGAAACGAAGGCCATCTCTGTGAAGTACCTGTGAAAGCGGAGGATCTTCAAATGACCCCTTGAGTCTCAAGTCGCGCACAAGGCTCCCCCTTCATCCTCTCGTTCTGCTGTAGGTGACAGGGCACCACGAAGCCTTCAACAAAGAGACAGCGTTCAAGAGCTGTCACGTAAAAGGTTTTCACCGTAATGCAAACAGCAGGGACTTCCTTCCATTGCATCAGGCCTTTCTAGGAACCGCTTTGAAATATTCCTCCTTTGAAATGTCAGATACACCTCCATACCATTTCTGAAGCCAGATATAATCTATTCTCATCTTCATGAAGAACCATTCATACTGACGGGGCCACTTCCTCATCCCTGGGTGCCTGAAGGAGCAAAGAGAGATCACAGTAAAGATGTTCTTATCACAGGGGTGCACCCTGGGCCAGGTTACGGACCTTCAGACTCCTAGCCTTATTTAGGCTGAGACCTGCTCAACTCAGCCAGAGGCAGAAGCTGAGGCGCTAGGTGTCAGGGCCTGGGACAGCTTTGGGAAGGCAGGAAGCTCACAGTCCCTACACGGAATGGCAAAAATCTCACATCTCGAGCCAGGCTCCTTGATTTGACCAAGTTCAACTGCTGATGAGTCGCGAAGCCTTGTGGGCCCTCAGTGCTCACAAGCCCCGGTATCCTTACCTGTCACCTGGGTGAGCCTGCTGGTGCTTGGGTCAGGAAGGCATGGGGGGAGCAAGTAAGGAGGCACCCATAAAACACCTGCAGTGGATGTCGGTGAATGTTAGTAGGAAACATGGAGAAAGGCTTCGTGCTTCTCTGTGTGAAATGTTAACAAAACGGGGAACTGCTCATGGAAAGGTTTCTGATCCTGCAGCAAGCTCAGGACTGTGGATCCAGGCTGAGAACCAATCAGAGTGGACAGGAGACATTCCAGTTCACCTTCTGTTATTGACCGACTTGCCTTCTCCTCCCACGGGCACCCCGGCACACACTGTCATACCCTTGAGGGTAGCAGTTGTGGCTCACTGATCTTTTTAACTTCATAAAAATGTCCTTTATAACTAAAAATGTTATAAACATAGTTCAAAGACTGAGTCCAAAAAGGGAAAAACATCTGCAACCAAGTAAATGCCAAGAGGGGACATGGGGCCATGTTTGTTGCATTGACTTGATTAGGCAGGTTCCGTTATTTTCATGGTAGGGCAGGATATTACCAAAGGATGAAAACTGGTAGCAATTGTTCCTGGAACACTTCAATGTGGGGTGTTTTCCAAAGGTAGTGTCAGCCCACCGTGGGCCACCTGTCTGGCCTCCATGGCCTCTACTGCTCCTGCTAGTGAAGGGCATTCAGATCAACCACTGTCATTGCATCCATCCGAGGCATCCAATGGCACAACCATGAAAGCTATGTTTTATTATGGTATATTTCTGGGACAACCAATTTTAGAGCATCTACACACCTTGAAAACATGGCCTGCTTGGCAAATTCTACTTCTTCTGGAGATACTGAAGTCATCTGGCCAGTGAGCGTTAACCGGACACATCGGGAATCTTCTGGGTCCACGATGTTTTTCCTGCAGGTAAAGAATGTTTTTTTCACATATTAAAACAATGACAGAGCCTATAATCCCTATGGCTTGAGAGTCTGAATCTATAAGTTCAAAGCCAGCCTCAGCAAAAAGGAGGTGCTAAGCAACTCAGTGAGACCCTGTCTCTAGATAAAATAGGGTGAGGATGTGGCTCAGTGGTCAAATACCCCTGAGTTCAAACCCTGCTACCAAGATGTTGAGAGTCACAGCCGAAGGGGCCCCAGCAAACTTCCAGCTGCCAGCTGATTGGCTCCTCTGCGGTGATGCTCATTGGGCTGTTTCCCCGCCCTTTCAGACCACAGAGCTGCTCATTGGGGGACTTTTTTTGGCTCTGCCCATGCAACCCAGCCAATCAGCCTCAAGAGCAGGAGGAATGGGGGAGGTTGAGAGGCTTGTGGGAAGCCGGTGGTGGCAGTTGGGCTCTGAGGGTTTTTCCTGAGGAGCTGTTTTGTTTGGCGTGTGTGGTTCTAAAAATAAAGTTTGTTTCTTTTGACAAGTGGCTCCTGAATTGTGCCCAGCCAGACTGCGGCATTTGGTGGCCCGTATGGGGATCGAACCCGAGACCTTGGCATTATCAGCACCAAGCTCTGACCAACTGAGCTAAAATAACAATGACAAAACATCAGTCTGAAACACTAGGGATTTTGTGAAAAATTTAAAGTGCTCGTCATATTTCTGAATATCTCATTCACACTTTTACTATAATTATCTTAAAATGCTTTAGCATGGGCAGTATGTTAGGTATGCTCTCATAAGTTGAGGGTTACAGTTGAGAGACTGTTAGAAGTTTTGAAGTTAAGGATGCATGTGCCAGGAGAAATGGGAATTTGTTACCAAAAGATGACATTTCAGTTACTGCTGTAATTTGTATCTGGAAGGTCCCCCAAAGGCCCGTGTAATGAAGCCTTAGTCCCCAACATGGCACTGTTGGGAGGTCGTGGAAACAGGAAGAGATGAGGCTTACTGAGAGGTCTTCTAGACGCTAGTAATATGCCCTTGAAGGGGATGGTGGGGCCTTAGTCCCTTAGTCCCTCTTTTTTTTTTTCTTCTTTTTTCCTTGTAGCCAAGAGGTGATCAATTTTACTATGCTACATACTTCCCACCATGACGTGCTGCTCTACCACAGGACCAAAAGCAACTGGGCCAACTGACCATGGACCAAGCCTCTGAAAACTGTGAGCCCAAAAAACCTTCTCTATAAGTTGATCATCTCAGGTATTTTGTTGCAGTAACAGAAAGCTAATTAACACAGTTACCTTAGAGGAATAAGTTCTAGGATCTTCTGTACAACGTCGTACCTAGAATTAACAATACAATATTGTCCCCCTCCCCACCTTTTTTTTTTGTATTTGTCCTACAAAACCAAAACAAAACAAAGGGACACAAGAAAATTTGGGGAGGTGTTGAATGTGTCTATTCCTGGTATTTGCATATGTCTAAATTCATCAGATTGAACACTACAAGTATGTGCAATTCTTTAAGTTAATTATACCTCAGTAAAACTTTTTAAAAATACACACACCATGCCTACTATCTACAAGACCCACGAAGGAGTCAATTTCTGAAATAATGCTGCCATCCTGCCCAACTCTTCTCAGCTTGCAGATGACCATCTCTGTCTGTGTCTTTACTCGATCCTCCCCCTGTGCATGTCTGTGTCCTAATTTCCTCTTCTCATAAGGACAGCAGCCTTATGGGACCATTCTAAAGATGACATTTTAACTTAGTTACCCCTTTTAGGATTCTGTCTCCAAATAATCACATCCTGAGGTCCCAGGGGGTCCTCAACGTGTGAATTTGGGGTGGGACAATTAATTCCATTACAGCAACATAACTATTTTTATTCAAATGTTTTTGGGTTGACACTGATTTGGGAAGTTCACTGTGTGTGCAGTGATTGATGAAAAACGTACTAAGGGAAGCACTCAGGCTCAAACTCTAGACATTCGGGAAGCTCAATGAAAAAAAGCCTTAACTGACCACAAAACAAATACTAGATTTAATACTTTTCTTTTTTAGATTTTTTTAGTTTTTTTTTTTTTTTTTTAGGTGGACACAATATCTTTATTTTTTATTTTTATGTGGTGTTGAGGATCGAACCCAGCGCCCCGCGCATGCCAGGCGAGCACACTACCGCTTGAGCCACATCCCCAACCCCTCTTTTTTAGATTTTAAAAAAATTTTTCTATTAAATTTTAAAGTATTTTAAGCTCATAAGAAAGTATGAAGAATAAAATAATTAAAACTGATGTTCCTGTTGGGGCTCAGAAAAAGATACCTGCAAGTGGAGAGGGCAGTTTCCTCCTGACCCCTCCTGCCCTCCTGCGGTGATCTGCAGGCTGTAAATTCGGAAGACTGTGAGGGGTGATGGGGAATTAAGAAAAACACTTAGAAAGACAGGTGAGATCCGGTGGTACCATCCTCTGGTGGAGGAACAGTGACCCAGAGCTGGCTCCACACATTTATTATATATCAAAAAGCTATTTGTGGGCTGGGATGTAGCTCTGTGGCAAAGCGTCTGCCTTGCATTCCCAAAGCCCTGGGTTTGACCCCTAGTTCCAAAAAAGACCAAAAAAAAAAAAAAAAAAAAAAAAAAAGATTAAAAAAAAAAAGCTATTTGTGAGGAATTTTTCTAGAAAGGCAGACTTGACGTTTGCAGCACACATGATGGTTATCTTCTTAAGTTCAGAATCTTTTATTCCTAGGAGACAGGGTCTGCGACTCAAGGTTAAAACAGACGTCTCTGGGCGTTTGCCTGGAGAGACCAAGGGCCGGTGTGCCATATAGCAACTGGGGAATGTGAACCCTGTGCTTTTGCCCAGGGAAATGTTAACCCGATACTCTTGTAATCCCAGGGCGACCACACCGCAACCACACGGCGATCAGACACCTTGATTCACACCAGCACCTCCTGTTTCTCTCTCCTCCTTCTCCCCCAAGGCAGGCCATAGCAACCAGAGCCCCTTTTCCCCAAAGCTGACCATGGAACCTAAAAAGAGCACTCAAATGTCCCCTGCCTTTCTGTTGCCTGCAAAGCAATTCTGTGACCCACCTTGTCTGAGAGTAGGTCATGAGACGCCCCCAGTGGGGAAGGGGTTCTGCCCTGTACCTGGGAGGAAGGAAGGCTGCAGAGGGCTGGGGAAAGTTTGAACAGGCAGGCCTCGCTGGGTTCCCCCCTCTATTTCCATTAGCTTTTTATTCAGCTTCTACCTGACTGTCCAGACTTCGTCCATCAGCCCAAGCATAAAAATGGGCAGTTCCTGAAGTCTCCATGCCACGTAAAACTATGATTAAATAAATTACCTACATTTCCCTCTTTTTGACCTGTTATCACAGGGATGTGTGCCACCAAAACTCTTAATTTATTTTTGTATTTGGGGGTACTAAGGATTGAACCTAGGAGCTCTTCACCACTGAGCTATATAACCAGCCCTTTACATTTTTAAATTTTGAGACAGAATTTTGCTAAATTGCTCAGGCTGGCCTCCAATGTGCGATCCTCCTGCCTTAGCCTCCCAAGTAGCCAAGATTATAGGAGTGCACCACAATACCTAGCACCATTACCCTTTATGCTGGATAGAAAAGGGATCACCCTTTTCCTTCTCTACATACTGTAAACAAAGAAATAATGAGTGAGGCTAAAATGAGCAAAGGCACCCAAACCAGTGTTTTGCAGAGGTAAAGTGAGCTTGGGGTTTTAATAAGTCCTATAATTTGACAACCAACACAAATAAGGGTACTGGTAAGTTTTGGAAGCCTACTGGAGTGTCCAAGTCAGGAAGCAAAACTGGTCACTCCAATATTCCCCAAACCTTGCAAGATGTAGTTAGATTCCAGAAAAATGTTCACTTTGGTGGATTTAGTTCCTGACATGATCTCTGCATGACAACCTTCCTCCTGTCAGTAACTCTCAGACTCAGAGAAAACATTGCTCTCTCTTCTTTCAGATCCTTCTGCAGCCATTTGGACTTATTTTGTCAATATCCATCATACAACTTTGTCAAATCTCAATATTTTGTAACTTTTGCCCCAGATCCTTCTTTAAAGAAAAAAGGACAACATATACAATTGAAATTCCCCACAATTCACCCAGATGCCCTTCTCTTTCTTCCTTCTTACCTTACCTTAAACTTGGTTTTTTTTTTTTACACTCATGCATGCTTTTATAACTGTGGATGCACCACAAGCAACATCTTGTTGATTTGCATATTTAACCCTTAACATACATACATCCCATGATACCTGTTCTGCTGCAACTTCCTTGTTGGTTTACCAGCATTAAGTTACTATTCTGTCTATCTTACTCTTCATTTTATTTCTCAATTGGCAGACTATAGCCTCTGGGCCAAATTGGACTATCACCTGTTTTGTTCAGATTGAGAGGTAAGAATGGGGGATTTTACATTTTTAAAAGGTTGGGGAAAAAACATCAAAAGAAGAATACTTTATGACAGATGAGAGTTACAAGAAGTTCACCTTTTGGTATGCGGAAATGAAGTTTTATTGGATCACAACCATACACATCTGCTTCCATAGTGTGTATGGTCATGATACAGCAGTAGAGTTGAGTTGTCCTGACAGAAACTGTGTGGCTTATAGCACTTAAAAAAAAATTCTGTTTGCTCCTTACAGGAAAAAAAAAAATCACTGCCAGCTTCTGTTTTAGGTTGTGGTAAGGAGAGCGGGGTATTCCTTGGGCCCCTCCATGAAGATTGAATGCATGCACTCACATAATGTGTTAGAATAGTGCCTGCTGGGTAATAACCCTGAAAGGATGCTGCCACCATTTTGTTGTCCAATTTTTATGTGGGAGTGGCTGGAGGGCCTGGGATTGTGCCCAAATTTGTGGAATGATCAATTATGAAAATATCGAAGACTGTAGGACTCATTTGTGATCCTTCAAGATTCTAATGTTAGAGACCTAACTTCCCATGTGACTATATTTGGAGATAGGACCTTTAGTTAGATCTTACTTATTTATTTAT